ATATATATATATATATATATATATATATATATAAGAATTATTAATTTAAAATTTATTAATATAAAAAATAAATATATAAAATTAATATTTATTAATAATTTCTTAAATAAATGAAACCTTAATTTAATTTAAATAATAGATAATAACTGAAAAAAAAAATATATATATACATATATTTCAATATAACTAATTTCCTAAAAGTCCATAATTAGATACACAACAAAAAAAATGTAAACACATAACAGTATTATAAACTTAGTACATATTTAGGATATTGATAGGAAAATAATTGTATAACTTATAATTTATAATTATAAAACTTACCAGTGAATACGCTGAATGGCATAATCACATTTCTCTGGAGTATCAGCCAAAATAATTTTATCTAATGTAATTTTAAGATCTTTTTTTTTCTGATCATATTGTTTATAGCTCTTACTCTTTATACGTTGACAAAAGTGCTTAACACTTTGAAAAACATTCTTATGATATTTAGAGGCCAAAAGTACAAGGCCACAGTTACACATACAAGAAACATTTTGCTCTTTACAGGATGCATTAATTGCAACAATAAATTCTTATTTTTAACACAATTAGAATTAAAACTCTTTATATACAATTTATTTTCTGTTTTTTACTATTTAAATATAAACATGTACACACACATATATATATATACATGTATGTATGTATATATGTGTATATATACATATATTTTTTTTTCATTTAAAATATAAATATTTACATTGATAATTGATAATTAAATACATTAAATAAATAAATTAATTAAACTTAACGTTATGTTGAATTATTAGAGTCACAAATCGATCATGACAACCGGTATTTGAAAAGCAATAAAGATAAAAAGTTCCAAGAAATGAATGATCGAATTATTAAATTATTCAAAATATTTAAAAAATTATACAGAAGGTACATCACGATCGTAATTAAGAAAAATAAGCCAAATGCGATTTGAGGAGAAACCGTAGCTACTGAAGCAATGACGCGAACACCAAGTATGTGATCAAATATTACATATGATTATGATTATTGAAACGTATCTTCCTTGTTTGTATTTCAGTAGGATGTTCTTTATGCTGATTGGTTGGTACATAATTTTTCATATAATTTTATAATAAATATTTTAATTGCATTAACATTGTTCTTTAATATTATTTATTACATAAATTACAAATAGAACTAGATTTTTTTAGAAATTATATTATATTTTTGAAAATTTACAAAAATTTTTTTTTTGAATATTTTCAAATTTTCAAAATATAATTTTATTGTATACATATATGAATAAAATGTTATTATATGAAAAACATAATAATTATTAAAAATTATATGTTTATTTTATAATTATTTATTATGTTTGATGTTTACTATGATTTGAAGTAAAACTATATAAGATACAATTATATCCCTCTATTCATACACATTTTGTGGACAAATTTATAAGAGTATTAATGGCGCATAAAATAATTATATGTATTATATAGTTAAATATGCATTTTTTACATAAATGGAAAACTATAATTATGTGTACATATCTATAAGCACAGGAAATAGTATAAAAAAAATTAAGTATGGCGTTAATCCTATCAGCTGATATCGTCTGCTGGAATGATGAACCATAGTTATTAATTACTTATACAGTGTTCTCTTAAGCATCGTAAACATACACTCTCAATCCATGGCTATTCTCATAAATTAATAAATTTACAATAATTCAAAGTTATTTTAATGACGCAATGGTTACTTTAGACTTTGTAATGGTGAAAATATTTGCTAAATACGAATTCGATCGTTTGCATCATTGACAGGTGGAATAAGAATATGGGAAAATAGACAAAATTATTTGTGCAAACAAATTTTTAAGCGATTGAATATTAAAGGAATCTGCCAAATATTGTTATGCAGATTCGATTGTAATGAGTGACTCCGAACAACGGCAATTACACGTGCCTTATCGAGAATATCATAGTCAGAATAATACTAATACTTCTGTCTTAGTAGAAACTGACGCACTGGTAGATCTTTCAATCACATCTAATAATTGTTTACCAGTAAACGATTGTTCAGAACTAATACCAGACGTTGAATTTGTTCCCAATCTGAGCAACGAACAAACTATAGCCATTGATTCCCCTGGAATTGACCGGGAGAGCCAGCCTCTCCTTGGTCGGCTAGAACTTGATGTCACCTTCAATCGCTTTCCTGGTTTGTAATTTATTAAATATATATTATAAAAAATATTATAATTTTTTTTATGTTTAATCATATTAATTGTGCATTATATTTTTTAGATGATCCACAATTTTCTGAATTAGTATGGCAGGCAGAATTAGCAATAGATAATGGAATCTTTCCAGAAAGAATATATCAGGGTTCTAGTGGCAGTTACTTTGTAAAAAATCCCACAGGGGTAAGGTATAATATTTTACATTAAAAAATTAAAATCTTATTTAATAAAATAGATTGTTTAGACTAATTATGTATTAATAATTTTATTTTATAGAGAATAATAGGTGTTTTTAAACCAAAAGATGAAGAACCATATGGAAGATTAAATCCAAAATGGACAAAATGGATGCACAAGCTTTGTTGTCCTTGTTGCTTTGGGAGAAGTTGTTTAATTCCAAATCAAGGATATCTCAGCGAGGCGGGTGCAAGTTTAGTTGACCGTAAATTAGGTTTGGGCATAGTACCAAACACTAGAGTAGTTAAACTTGTCAGTAAAACATTTAACTACCCACGCTTAGACCGTCAAAAAGCCCGTATGAAGCAAGCAATTATGGACCAGTTTCCAACAGTGGGATCTCACTTCAATCGTATTGGTTTGCCGCCGAAAGTTGGTTCTTTTCAAGTTTTTGTAGATGGTTACAAGGATGCTGATTATTGGTTAAGGCGATGGGAAAACGAACCTTTATCACCTCGACTTAGTAGAGAATTTCAACTTCAATTTGAACGCTTAGTTATTTTGGACTATATAATTAGGAATACTGATAGAAGTAATTAACATTCATAAAATATTTTTAACTTTTATATATATAGAGAATCATACGGAATCGTTAAATACAATCTTTTTAAAGGCAATGAAAATTGGTTAATTAAATACGATAACAGTAAGGGAAAAAATGGAATGGAACAAAGTGAAGTAAAAATAGCCGCTATAGACAATGGTTTGGCTTTTCCTTTTAAACATCCTGATTCTTGGCGTGCATATCCTTATCACTGGGCATGGTTAAGTCAAGCAAAACAACCATTTAGCGATATAACACGAGAGCTTGTGTTACCACAACTCTCGGATCAAAATTTTGTACAAGATCTTTGTGACGATTTGTATCAATTATTTAAAGTAAGTTGTATAAATTAAGATTACTTTATATTGATAGACAATTGACTAGAATTTGACAATAAGAATATTATTTTTATAGCAAGATAAAGGTTTCGATCGACATCATTTTGATAAACAAATGAGCGTAATGCGTGGACAGATTTTGAATTTACAACAAGCTTTAAAGGATGCTAAAAGTCCCGTGCAATTGGTTCAAATGCCTGCTGTGATTGTTGAAAAGTATTTATATATATATTAATTTTTTATAAATTATCAAAAAATTGTGAAGGCATACGCATTCTCCGATTTTAAATGTAATTTTATCAATACTATTTTATAGGGCTAAGGGAAATGGAGCACCAAGACTATTTTCGTTCTCCGACACATTTACACAGCGCTTCCAGAACAAAAGTCCTTTCTTCTCTTGGTGTTAGAAAGATCCTTCTTCTTAAATGCTTGAAAAACAGCATTAGCTCTCTGTGTCAACTGAAAAGAACTCTTCGGTGCCTCACAGATATACATCTTATTATTTGTTCTGTATTTCTTAATTTTATTACGCATTACTACCTCTTTTTTCAATGCTAATTTCTAATCTACAGTCTATGTTAGATTTATGTTTAATTTATCTTATGTCTATAGCATTTTCTTTTAATTCGACTATATTAATTCAAACCATAGTATGATTATATTGTATACAGTAAATATATATAATTGTTAAAACATATTTTTCGATATGCTTCGTATGAAAATGTGAAAAAAAAGATAAATGAATATAGGCAGTATTTTACAACCACGCATATAAATGACATCCCCTTAAAATGAAACGTGGACAATTACACATAATCGCATTGTATGTTTCTTATGTCTTCCATGTACCATTGTCTTGAGAATACATCGATTTACATGCATTTCCGCTAGATGCTATTAAAAAGAAACATCTATCTAATCTTGAAAATTAACTGTGATCTAAAATAGTGAAAAGACATATAATTTATTGTTTAAAATAAAACATTCTACATATTCATATTATATTTTTAACCGATACGTATAAGGAATAAATTTTCTATTAGTAGCTAAAACAAAAATTTCTATTAAAATTATTATTAGTTAAATCATTTATCATTATCGGTTTGCAAATATCGACAAATTCTCTATCATAAAATATCATATCTTAAATTATTAAAATATATATTCGATTATTGACGTAATCGATTTTATCATTGATTTTATTTTGTTTTAAAATTATTAAAATAATTGATTTAATACTAACTTCGAAGCATGGTTTGCTAAATTATATGTTTTACTGAAGTTGCAAAATGTGACGTAGGGGTTGACGTTTGCAACAATCTTATCATTTTATATTATTGTATTTTATATGTTACATATCTTTTGAGAGATTTATTAATCGGAAACGTAAATCTCTATCTTGTTGATTAAAAACCGAAAGAAACAAGGAAATTATCATTATTATGTAAAATAATCAAGTAAAAAATACAAAATGGAAGTAATCGAGATTAATACAAAACAGCAACTTCGAACACCAAGATGCGAGAAATCAGAATGTCCATGTGACATAAAAGTAACAAATCTGCTAATTTTTCTATTATTAAAATGATGAAATCGATTATTATATAGTTATATCATTAATATTATGCGTATTTAGTGTAAAAGAAGATATGTTCAACCATCACGAACAAAATCATTCGCCCCCGTAAGAACGTATCATCCACCTTCAAAGTTATTTGAAACTAATACAACATATCATTTGTCATATTTAAATGTGGATGATGCGGAAATGCGACGCAGCCGATCTCAACCCATCCGACCCAAACCTGCTCTCGTTAAATCCGATGCTCGTTTTCTCGCTGAAACGACTAATCAATTAAGTTACAAACTTATTGAAGCTGTGCCTAAAACGAAACCAATTTTGCCCAAACATAGGTAACAGATTCAGAAAATTATGTTAAATCGAATTAAAAAAAATTCCTTAAATTTCAACAGTTTTAACGAAGAAATTATTTCTTCAATATTAGACCGATGATTGGAACTGGTCCAATGGATTCTATTACAACGGTTCGTCAAGATTACCCGCGTAAATACGTAGAGAAACAAGAACTTATAGTGCCATGCGGGAATATTCGTTTGAGTAGAGGCAAATTGGAGGATAATACCACAGCAAAACTTTCTTATATGGATCCAGGTTCTACTGAACCGACAATTAACTTCAAACCGATATCGGTTTATTGTCCACCTAGTGAACCAATTTTTGACGATACTACGCATAAATTAAGTTATCAACCTGTTCCTATTCAAGAAAGAGATATATATTCTTGGCAACAAAAACCAATTTACAAGTATATATTATATTTTAAAAAACTTCTTATTATTTTTGTATCTTCAATTTACAATTCACGAAATGTTTATAGACCTCCAGATATTGCAATGTGTGCAAAAACAACGTATTCTGAAAGTTATTTGAAAAACGAAGAATCATGCTTAGAAAAACCTATAGTGCCCTGTCCTGCCAACGTATTTCCTTATGGCGGTGAATTTCACGATAAAACTATTTACAAAGAAAGCTATTTGGAATCGACCATTGATCGCGTGGAACCGATTATTCCTTGCAATGCTATCACGAAAGCTGACGGCAAGATATCGGCAGACACAACGAACAAAGTATATTACAATGACATTCAATATTTTCCATTAACTTCTTCCATTTCTTCCGCAATTGTTACTTTACTATTTTTAATTCTTCCCATTTTACATGTATATATATATATATATATATATATTATTTTTTTTTACTT